TCAAGAGGGAATTAAAAATCATAATCAATTTCACCTTACTTTACATTAACCAAGCTTGAACCTTGTTTTCTTCATAATTTAAAAATTTAAAAACAAGAAATTATAAAATACTCTTTTATAAATAAGGTCAGTACCGAAGTACTGAGTTGATGATAACCTTCGGGACTTACAACATTGGCGGATCCAGGGGGGGGGGGGGGGGGGGGGAGGGGGTCTGGGGGTTGGAATCCCCCTTTTCTTGACTATCAATGCTTTTGAATGGGGAAATATGGTTGGAACCCCCCTTTTTTAAAAAAATGGCTGGATCCGCCCCTGTTACAGTCCATCAGCAGTGTTATCCACCAAATGCTAGTAAATGAAAATGTTCGTAAAAGTGAGTAGGCAATTCGAATTGTAAGTCAAAAGAAAAACAATCAAAACCGTTATAAGAAGAAAAACCCAACTGAAAACAGACTGAAATCGTCATAAGGGAAGAGTATCTATATATACTGTTAGATGTTTTGTCAACTTTCTGGCTTAATCCGTTACAGAAATCATTTTAAAATTGTGTTTCCTGTCTATGATTTATTTTTACAGTATTTAGGGTTTTTCACAACACGCAGTCAGCAGAAAAGTGTTGATATAAATGTCATACAGTCCCAGATAATGTTAATGTCATCAGTAATTATAATAAACGCGGCCAGGCGGGTAGTATATGAATGGCGCATTTGAAATAAAAAACAGCCAGTAGGATTAAAGAAAAACCAACAAATTACTAAACCCATTGACGTCTAGAGATCTTTAATAATAAACAAGAAACTAAGGAACATTAACAATGAAATTATTAGGACATTTTAATTTATTTTCTAGCATTTATTTGGTGGACTCTTTTGTCGTTAAGCAGCAGAAACCATTATGTCGTCATCATGAGCTGCATCTGTGAATATATCTGTTTAAATTTTCATACCGTTAATATTACTTTAATGTTAAGGGACACAAAAGAGTTTTTTATATAACATTTATAATAATTTATTGTACCCTAGAATTTCGGCTGTTCTATTTAGCGATCATGTTTGTAATGGTTTTTTACCAACCCAAAAACATAAACGTGTACTTCTAATAAAATAACGTTGCACTGGAGGAACACAAAACCACTAGAGACTGGTAGTAAATAAAAATGTGTGCTTTTTCAATGGAACTAGAAACATGTTAAACAATATTCGTTTCAGTGGATAAACGACACATTAGATTTAAATGTCATATAGAGGTCAATATACGGCGTTTAACAATAGAACAGGAACTAGGGGATTTTTTTTTTATAAAAAGGACATTTAAGTCTAATATTCTAAAATACGCCAAGATCTAAAACACCACTAGAATTGAAACCGCTGGATAAATTTCACGGAGACCATCATATATTAGTATAACAAATGACAAAAAGACATCAAAAATTATGTCAGGGGAGAACCGCTCGCGATATTTCTTACTGGGGACAAGCATATCAACCTTTCATTTTATATTTATTAAAAAAGCGGGGAATAACTACACTTATTAAATGATATGAGCAAATCAGCCCTAATACGGATAAATCAGCATGTTCAATACTGATGACGTTGCCCTGTCGATATAAATCAAGAGTTAATATTGCTTTTCGGACAGGGCCAATACGGAAAAAAGCCGTATTGGCCCATGGGCTAATACCAAACTCCGAAACAGTGGTAACGTCTTCTTTGATACACTACGTTGACTGATAGTTTCAACTTCCGAAGCAAGGTTGTCGGCTCTCCGAACTTTCCCGAAGTCCTGCGTTTAACACCCTTTTGCCATCAGCCGTACTCACAATTACAAGATCTTGTAATACGTAGTCATCCGCAGCGCACGCATACATTTTTTCATTAATTTCATAAAACGCTGTTTAAAACGAGCTGTTGTATTAACTTTAACGATTCAATTTTAATCTAAAGACAATTTTTAGCCATTTGACTATTCTTCTGAAAGTGTACATGCGAACTACTTTGTTTACGTTTTCCAAGTTGACGATCGCCTGCTTGCAAACCGTACAGGTATGATTATTACTTATTCGAAACAAAATAACTGTTTTAAATCCTTGTCTATGACATGATTTAATTGTATAGATTTTATATCTGATTGTTAGTGTATCATTATATATAACTCCCGTTTCTGGATAGCAAAAAGTACCAGAAATTTAAAAAAGTGGGTGGGGCATTTTGCACAAGAGCCTTTTGGTTCCAACTATTAGAAACAAATTCAATGTATACATGCAAAATCTTCAAAAGGTACCAAATTTTGTCTTTAACCCAGAAAGTTAGAGCTACAAAAAACATATATACAAAAATGTACAGTACCTGGCAAAAAGTATTCGTCACCTGCATTTTTTGCTATATATTTCAATATAAAAACAAATTTTTTCAAAAAAATATTTTGAAGACATTTATGGTTGGATTTTTATAAATAAGGTGTTAGAAGACGAAGAATTGTCTAAAGAATATTTGTTTATTTGGTCATACTTTGTCTTCAGTTGTTTTCTCTTGATGTGAACACAGATAATAAAATTTTACAATTTAATTTGGTTGAAATATATAGCAAATTTCTGAACAGAAAATAATATTTGTGTTTATCTCGTGAGAAAATGAAAATAATCCACAACAAAAATACAACAAAATAAACAAATAAACCTGTGACAATTCTGCTTCTATTGGTACAAATAGATATAAGAAGATGTGGTATGAGTGCCAATGAGACAACTCTCCATCCAAGTCAAAATTTATAAAAGTAAACCAATATAGGTCAAAGTACGGTCTTCAACACGGAGCCTTGTCTCACACCGAACAGCTAGCTATAAAGGGCCCCAAAAATTACTAGTGACATAAGCAAATCAAAACAAACAGTACTTATAGAACAACATATAAAAAGATGCAATCTTGATAATGTCATACAAGAATATATTAAAACATTTTTTGATAGGTGGTGCAATATTTTGTCTCTCCTGTTACCATGTTCAAAAGAAATTTCGGGTTATTCAGAAGAAGTTTCGATAAAATTTTAAGCTTGATTTTCGTAGCCAATAAGATGGTTTTCAAGAGTAAAAACTTCTATATATATTCATTCTGTGAAATGGTAGATTATTTGTCAATTTTCCATGCTGTACTGAAAAATGCCTCTAAAAATGGTTTTCAAAGGGTATAAAAATAACCATCAGTAATGCAAGTCTACGATAGCAATTCATAATGTTCAGCATTTTGTCTCTCTTTCTAATAAACCCAACATCAAGTAATTCTCTCGCATGTTGGTTTACTTTTGTCTTTATTTTATAATTGGTAACAGGAACGTACGTTAATGATATATCACCATATTAAGTTCTATCATGTTACCATTTTGTCTATCCTGTTACCGATAGTAGTATTGCATCTGCAAATGCTAAATTGCGATTATTAAGACACAGAAATTAACAGCTATTAAAGACGTTTCTGTCTACTATTGTCTATCCTGTTACTGTAATCATAGCAACCATAGTAACTGGATAGACATAACAGGACAGACAAATTTCTTCATTTTTGAATGCTGTAGTGAAATAACTACTCCCTTTGATAAAGTGATAATGTTTTTCTGTTGTGATTTTGGTTTCCAACACGTCATTGCACTTTTCACAAGAAGAATATTGGTTTAATTAATAGATGTGGTGGTAAAAGCATAGACATGACAAAAAGATACCCACTATTTTTTTTTCACTAAATGTCTAGAAATTTTTTTTCTCTACACTGTTATACAAGAAACGTGCTGTGTTAAATGTTTAGGTTACTTTGCGCTTTTGAAATCAACACTGACGAGTTCAATATCCATAGGGAGAACAATTCAACGGTTTATTTAAGTAGCAGTAACAGGATCCCAGCAAACACAAAAACATCTTTAAAATGTTTTTAAAATGTTGTGTCTAATGTCATGAAAATATCACAAAAAAACGTGAGAAAAACATTAAATGTATGGTAGAATATATATCGCTAAAACGTTTTCTAATATATTTTTCTAAAATATTTGCATAATATAATTAAAATGTTGTAAAGAAATATCATGATAATGTGAAAAACAATGGCGTATAAAACATTTTGATAATCTTTTAAAAAATATTTTCTAGAAATATTTTCTGAACGTTTGAAAAACATCATGAACATCAAATAATGTTATAAAAATGTTTTTTGGATGTTTTCTTGCAAGTGAGACTGTGCCTAAAAAATGTTTTCAAAATGTTTTAAGATGTTTTTGGTTGATATCAAGATCATAGCAATATAAAAATTTCTGTACTTTTGATTGAATAAATTAGTTGTTTTGCTAAGCATATGAAATTCACAATTCAAAGTCTCTAAAAACAAGAAGTATCTACAAATTTTGACACATCCAAAATGGCAGACACAACTCATCATGGTCAAGCCACTTACCAAATATGAAGTCATTCTGTTCATCAGCATTACCAATTAAAGTAATGAAAAATGTGAGGACATTCAACATTTTGAAATACAATGTATAAGCAAACAGGAAACAGGTGCCAGATACAAAAATGTTCACACATCACAGTTCATCACTTTCAAGCAGCTCATTAAATATGAACTCATCTTTATCAGCAGTTTTGGGAAAAACAGTGATGAAAATATTTGTTGGACAAAATCCGACAAATATAGGTGAACAGACGACAGACAGTGCAAGAAAGCCCATTATTCCAACCACAATGGTATAATGTTTAGTTTTTCACTCTCAACTTTTATTACCTATCTTATACACATCATGCATATGTCAACCTGAACATGCATGACATATATGCCATTGGACATTATGCAAACATTATACACATTTTTAAGTTCAAGTTACATTGACTAAAACTTGTGTCCCAAATTCAGATTTTTCAATACAACTTCTCTTTCTAAACTAAAACGCTACACTTCTAATAGGGTTACATCTTAAGTCAATAATCATTGATAATTGGCTAAAGAGATGAGAACAAAACACCATTTTACATCAACTATTTGATTTATTTAAGAATACATTGAAAAAGTCAATCAATTGTCTTATTCAAAATCACTTGGAATGTCTTGTAGTGTCTTATATCTTTTTCTTGCTGTGCCATGCTTCTGAAAAAAAAATTAATCTTACATTCATATATAATTTCTTGCACATTCCTTTATTATAGAACGATTCACGTTGCCTGAAGGATATACATCCCCTCCCCTTTAAAGTTTTGAAACAAATAACGATGATAGTCTGTCGGAAGGGGACGATAAATGGCTGACCGTGTTAAGAGAGAGCAATATGCCACGCTGAACTTCATTTAGTTATTAAAAAAAACACATAAAAAACTTTAGACTAGATATGTGTCCAGTCAAGAGTCTTATTTCATTATACTCGTTGATTGTTGTCTATCATAATTTTTTTCTTTTATTGTTTTGTATAAATCAGGCTGTTTTTTTTCTTGTTTTTTTTTAGTTTTCATTAAATGCATTGTATATAATGTAGGGGCCTTTAAAAGCCCTGCTACATAATGTCATTAAACATCTTATTGTCCTTTTTGCATGTTTTGAGTGATAAACTCTGTAAAGTGACTTAGTTTATAACTTGCCATTTGTATCTAAGGGCATATGATACAGTCCTAGAAGTATACTACATGTATAGGCACATAATAACTTATCGAAGTGTTACGCATTGTTTTCGCAATGATGATAATAATATAACTTAACTTCCGAGAAACACACAGATGTCATTAAATGAGTTGTTTATATGTATTTGAAATACTTCAAAGGAAAGCAAATATGTTGTTTATGAAAGCACACTGTTGGACTAAAAGATTGATTTAAATAAACAACTTGTTTCTATTTTGTCACAAAAAAAATAATTTATTCAAATATCCAGATATCTTTTCTGTATTGTATGCCCTTAATCTTGAATGTAATGCATTGTTTATGCTAAATATTTGAATTAAATATGGAATAACAGTAATTCTGTATAAAAATCTTACTTCAAAAAAAAATTCTACTGAAAGGTTGTAGACATTCCAAAGAACCTGCACCACTTCCAAATTGGGGTGCGTCTAAACACTGCTAAGGAGTCCTTAGTGCACTAAGGACATATAATATGCCACTAAGGACTAGATGGGGTGCTGTTACATGTAATTTGTTTTCATATTATGGTAGAGATCGATATTTAATGCATAAATTTCAAATTTTGTAGAAAAATAATCACAAATAAATCAGTAATTTAACATTGTTTAGACACGTGCCGTTTTTTCTTTGATATTGCCGAAAATCAATGAACCGTTAGACACGTGTCAAATTACATAACTGATTACACTGTTATCTTAATTTGGAACAAGTATTTTACAGTTTTATCGCTAAAAAATTGCCAAAAGTTAGATACGAATAAATGAATTATTTTTCAGTTTCAGATTATTTCAATGATCAATTTTGATTTAATTTCGCACTGAATAAGTTGTTTAAATTTTATTAATTTTTTTTTCAGAATCAAGGAATTGTATATTTCTTGAAAACTTATTTAATGAATAATAATCATGTAAACAGACGTATTTAAAACATGAACTGTTTGCACAGTGTTTATTTCTTTTGCGTTTGCTATGGTTCATTTTCAAAATTTATTATTATATAAATAACACGTTTGAGCAAGGATTTGTATAAAAATCCTTGGTTTGAGCAATATCTTTCAGGACAAAAACGAATTCTATATGAAAAGAAATTTTTACTTCATGCAACCAAACTTATATAATACATGAACCGTTTGGGCGGAAGATGTGGTATGATTGGCGATGAGACAACTCTTCACAAGAGACAAAATGCCACAGAAATTTATTAATTATAAGTCACCGAACGGCCTTCAAACAATGAGCAAAGCACATACCACATAGTCATTATTTCATAAATTATTTCGTACAATATCTTAAACACTCTAACTTAATATTAGTTAGCGCACATCAGAGTCGTGCACCTATTGCAAATAACTTTGTCGGAAAAGAAATAAAACAAAAGCAAAATTATTTGTCCTTTTAATCATTGTAAATAAGAACAACACATTTAATTATAAAATATTTAGCATTAATCTTTTCGAAACAATTGTTAAGTACTTAAAATAAAAAGATTATGATTGTTTATTCAGTTGTTATATTATATGGCACGTGGCAATCGGTTCACTGATTTTCGGCATATCAAAGAAAAACAGGCACGTGCCTAAACAATGCTTAATTACTAATTTATTTGTGATTATTTTTCTATAAAATTTTTAATTTATGCATTAAATATCAATATCTACCATAATATGAAAAGAAATTACATGTTACAGCACCCCATCTAGTCCTTAGTGGCATATTATAAGTCCTTAGTGCACTCAGGACTCCTTAGCAGTGTTTAGATGCACCGTCCAAATTGTAAACCTGCTTATTGAACTTGTCCTTTGTGGCTTTTCTTTTAGCTCCTGTTAAAAAATAAAAGATACATTGTATGTACATTGTGTGTATGAAGCAATAAATATAATTTTAAGCAACAGCTTATATTATCTTGCTTGTACTGAAGTCTTACATAGTCTTTTTAATGTTCATTAAGCTGTTAAAGAAATTTAATTTACTGTTTTGCAAATACATACATACACTGATTTTACTAGAAAAAAAAATCTCCATATTCAAATGGTGCTTATATTAGTGTTATTGTAACTTGTTTGTGTGCCTCGGAAACAAGGTATTGAGTCATGATTATTGCAATAGTTGTTGTTGGTTTAAGTCTGTCAAATTTCTTTTTCATAATGTGTATTTAATGTAGGCAGTTAGTTGTTTTGTTTCAATTGTGTTGAGAAAAATTTAACATTTGTTTGTCAAGGCTTCAAAGTGGACTATATGGCATTGGTTTTCTCAGTTTTGAAAGCTGTACAGTGACCTATAATTTCTTTTATCCAAGTCATTTAAATTCTGGTGGATAACTCTCATACACCTTATCGCTATTTCAGTATTTGGAAATCTGTCCTGCTTGAACTTTTTACGTCAGCATACGTCATACAATAATACACCTTATCGCTATTCCTGCTTTACCCGAGAATCTATCCTGCTTGAACTTTTGACGTCAAACAACAATCACTTTTCCATTGTGGCATCAGATATTTTTTATGATGTCAAAATTTTAAGGGAACTTGTGACAGTTGTGTGATGTCCAGTAATGGTGGACATTTTGTGTCTTATATGTCTAAGTCATTTAAATTCTGGTGGATAACTCTCATACGCCTTATCGCTATTTCAGTATTTGGAAATCTGTCCTGCTTGAACTTTTTACGTCAGCATACGTCATACAATAATACACCTTATCGCTATTCCTGCTTGACCCGAGAATCTATCCTGCTTGAACTTTTGACGTCAAACAACAATCACTTTTCCATTGTGGCATCAGATATTTTTTATGATGTCAAAATTTTAAGGGAACTTGTGACAGTTGTGTGATGTCCAGTAATGGTGGACAAATAGCAATAAGGTGTATTACTTTCAATTGTGGTGTCAAATATTTTCTAATATGACGTCAACCTTTTACGGGAACTTTTGTGATGTCCATGGCCAGTAATGGCGGACAAATATCGATAAGGTGTATTGGCAATCAAACTGTGACAAACACACAAGCCACATATCTTTATAATTTTTTTATATCAATGAACAAATTCATAATTGGTGTACGTAGATGCTTGATGGAGCTACTTATAAGATAAATGTATAGACTATTTACAAGTATCACTCCAAACGTTTGCTTGCCTTGGGCAGGGGCCCCCTTTTTTCAAAACCTTGATCCGCACCTCCAGAAACAGATGTAATTTGGTTCCGATTATGATTGAACACACACAATGAATGCACAAGTTTCATCTTAACAGATTAATCATTCTTACCAAGTGAGTATATATCGCGTAACAAACAATTTTCTTGGCTCTCTTTGTTGATATCTTGTCTTCGTTTCGAAATTCAAATTTCAAAATCATTTCCGGTGATAAAACAAAAGTCGATTCCGGAAAAGGTCGGTTTTCCGTAAATCATATACACGATACGAAAATTGAACTTAGTACAGTTACAGTTTTCATTTCTTAATTTCTAAAATATACACGAACGAAATGAATAAACATTAAAGAAAGGTGATTGTTTATTAATACATTATTGCTTAATTTAATGTTGACTCTTTTGAATTTTAATATAAGAAGGAATAAAATCTGACTTCAAGGATCTTCAACTGAGATATCAATTAAGGATTTCAACCATAGTGTCTTGCTTGTCATGATATTGATGAAATGTAGTACTATATCTTATCCTGAAAAAAAAACGAGCTAATTCCACAAAAGGTTGTTTGTGGGGTTTTGAATAAAGTTTAAATAAAATGTTATTTTTATATCCGTAAAATGTTGAATAAAATATCAGTAAGATTATTAAGTAATGTGTATGTCAGAATATTTTATAGAAAACATTTAGCTGATATTTTTCAGATGTTTTATGTAAAACATTTTAATTTTACGTTATAAAACATTTTATGCAAATAACAAACCTATATTTTCTGTAAAACATTTTTTTGCAGAATGTTTTTTGGATATTTGGAAAATATTTACTTTAGATGTTGTAAAAATATAAAATACCAATTGAAGAAAATATTTTTTTTTTATATTATAAAATATCTACGGGATATTTTAGAACAATGTTTGAGAACATGAATAAAAGATATTAGCAAATAATATTTTGTTAATGTTGTAAAAACATTTTACTTAAATGTTAGAAATAAAACATTTCAAAAACAATAAAATAAACATTTTTTTTATGTTTAAATGATATCTTATTGAAATATTTTGTGAGAGACGTCCATATGACATTTAAAAAATGTTTTTAAAATGTTGTGTGTTTGCTGGGATGGACATAAACTTCATGTACGCTGATTGAATTTAGTTTGTAGAAATGATGTTACATATAATAATAATAAAGCTGCGATTTTTCGTTAGAGTTATTATTAACATTCTGAAAAGGTCCCTTTTGCAGATATCAAGGCAATCAGAAAATATGAAAAAAATCATTTGAAATGTGTAACCCTGACACTGTACGCACATAAATTACGCAAAAATCAGACTTAAATATATTTTAATCTTATCAAAATAGATCTAAATCGTGTTTATTATTCATGTTCTGACTCATAAATTCTACAAATTTTCATTTAAACACTTACAACTGCATTTTCGATTAGAAATAAAAAAAAATAGCATAGGTGTACTGAAATTTCGACATTTTTTTAAAATGACCCATATATGTGAAATGCAAAGCCTGAGTCTGTAATGATTGTAGACAATAGCAAAGTTTGACATTCTTTTCTGGGAGTCAGAAAACATTATTTTCTTTTTGCTTGAAGTCATTTATAATGTTGCAACTATGTTCATGCTGCCATAATGGCTAGAACAGAGGTTAAAGAAATTTGACATTGTTATTAAACTTCAACCAAGGAAGAAAAGATGACAAAGGAGCTAATTGTTTATCAATAGATGATCAGTGTTTCTAGGAAGGCATACAATAGAAAAGAGTTAGACAAAATGACTATCTGCTAAAGTTTAATATGTCCACACACATTTTATTTGAAAGGATTGTACAGTGGTCTTTTAGAATAATAGACCATACAATTTTTTGGTACTTTTTTCCCCCACCATAATTAATTTTACCATTTTTTCTTACAATTAACACTGATTTTGAAAATCCTTCATCTTTGTAATTCACTTTATTCTCCTTTTCCTGAAATTTGTGGCCCAGTTTTCCTAAGCTCCCATAAATTGTGTTCTTCCCATTGCCTTGAATTGTACTGACACATGTGAGTTTCTACTGCAGGCTCATATGCCAAATCTGAATGTATTTGTTTATATAATTATACTGTAAATTCAGAAATTATTGCGAGGTTTTTATTAATTCGAATAATGTGACTGGTTGAGTATCGCAATTTTTCGAGATCTCAATAATTTATCTCGCATTTTTGTCCATTCTTGAAAAATCGCAATAATAAATGCACGCAATAATTTCTGAATTTACAGTAATTGGAGGGTTGCTTGTTGATGGCAGATCTTTGATTGTATCTATTAAATTTATTTACAGCTTTTATAGACTCCAGACAATTTAGAGCTTGACATATTGTGTGGAATAATCCCTGTCTATTGTTGAAGACTATGTTGCTCACTGCATATCATTTGGGTTTTTTTTTTGTCATCAGGTTTCTGTCTCATTGACTTATTCCCAACATCTCCTTTTCTACATTTCAATCAAGTAAAAATAAAAATGACAATATTTCAAAGTGCCTTTGCTTGGTCTGCAAAACTAGTCCCATATCTTTTAGTATAAAGGGTAAAATCAAATTTTAATAATGAAACTGCAATTGCATGATAAAAGTGTCATCATTATTTCTTTGAAGTAGAATTTTACCAGTTCGCATTGGAAAAGATGAAAAAGAGAAAAGATCTTTTCTTAAACTTTCCTTTGCCAACAAAGGTCTCGATGGCGTCAACTTAGGCAATATCCTTCATCATAAATTAGTTCAGTCGAAAATACCTCCTTATTTTAAAGATCAGTCTGTACCAATAATTTCTTATACCTATACCAAACCAATTGCAAGTAAAATTTTCAATTACAAACACGTTTTGCAGGATCTCAACATTGACGACTTCAAGTCTAAAACTCCTGATTGCACCTGTGCTAGTTCCCAATTCACATATAATCCGGCTGGCCACGTTATTACCGGAGACCTCAACATTGTCGATAACACTTCCCTGCGAAATTTGTTATCCAAAGGTCCGAAATATCGTGAGCCTAAATCCATCAATTGGAAATACAACTTCAAAATACTGATGGATTCAGTCGAGGATTATGCCAGGCAATGGGCTAAACGCGAGAAAGAAGACGTAGATACTCTTTCCGAATGGATTAAGGCTGTGAGGTCGTTGATACAAATCCGAATTAAGAAACTAAATGGGCATATCAATACCCACGCTACATCAATTTTTAAAGACCCAAATGTTGCAAAACACTTGTCCTACCTCCATGACAAATATGTTGTTGTCCCCGCAGATAAAGCCCCAAACAACATCGTTTTTGTGTGTAAATATCATTACATAAACTGCTTGATAAATGAATTAGGTATTGACAATTCACTTGGAAACTCAACATATACCCTCACGACACTTACCAAAGAGGAAATCCTAGATAATCATAGGTCTGTTCTATGTTCCTTTGGAATTTCAACCAAAGACGAAGAACTGGATCTTCCATCACTGTATTGGATACCTAAACTACATAAGTGTCCTTACAAACAACGGTATATTGCTGGGTCTTCCAAGTGCTCCACGAAACCTCTTTCTAAATTATTAACATCTATTTTATCAGCTATCAAAGCCGGGCTCCAAAGTTATTGTGAAACTGCCTATTCTAGAGGTGGCGTGAATCAGATGTGGATACTAAAAAATTCCAAAGATCTTTTAGAGTACATACAATCTAAGACTCTCTCATCTTGCAATAGTATTAAAACATTTGACTTTTCTACACTTTACACAAGTATTCCCCATTCCAAACTAAAAGACAAATTGAAAGAGTTGGTATTACTTTGTTTCATTAAAAAGAATGGCGAACGTAGATACAAGTATCTTGTCTTGGGGAGGGATAAATCCTACTTTGTAAAGAATCACTCTGATTCAAACAAAAAATTCTCTGAAACTGACATTATCAAGATGCTTGATTTCTTGATTGACAACATATTTGTTACGTTTGGAGGACGTGTTTTTCAACAGACTGTCGGAATTCCAATGGGAACCAATTGTGCCCCTCTTCTTGCCGCCTTGTTTCTTTATTATTATGAGGCTGACTTCATACAGGAGCTTCTTAGGAAGAGAGATAAGAAGTTAGCAATATCCTTTAACTCTACGTTCCGCTATATAGATGATGTTCTCTCACTAAATAATACAAAATTTGGTGACTATGTTGAACGAATCCATCCCATCGAACTAGAGATAAAGGATACTACAGATACAGTTAAGTCTGCCTCATATCTTGACTTACATCTAGAAATTGACAATGAGGGTCGGTTGAAAACAAAACTTTACGACAAAAGAGATGATTTCAGCTTCCCAATTGTGAACTTTCCATTTCTATGTAGCAACATTCCAGCAGCGCCTGCATACGGAGTATATATCTCCCAATTGATACGATATTCCCGGGCTTGTGTTCTCTATCATGATTTCCTTGATAGAGGATTGTTGCTCACAAGGAAGCTATTAAACCAAGAGTTCCAAATGGTGAAGTTGAAGTCATCCCTTCGTAAATTTTACGGACGCCATCACGAGTTGGTTGACCGTTATGGAATAACCGTTTCACAGATGATATCGGATATGTTCCTTATGTCGTAACCACAATACCCTTCCCTTTTCACGAATGTGACTTACCGAATTAGACTATTTACCGGATTTGTAATAACATAAGCAACTCGACGGGTGCCACATATGGAGCAGGATCTGTTTACCCTTCCGGAGCACCTGAGATCACCCCCAGTTTTTGGTGGGGTTCGTGTTGCTTAGTCTTTAGTTTTCTATGTTGTGTCATCTGTACTATTATTTGTCTGATTGTCTTTTTATTTTTGGCCATGACGTTGTCAGTTTGTTTTCGATCTATGAGTTTGACTGTCCCTCTGGTATCTTTCGTCCCTCTTTTAGTTCATATTTGTCATATCATATATCAAAGATATGTTAATAAACATGTCAAAATAATTTACTTTCACCTTAAAATTTTATGGCTTTTAAAAAATTAACTGCTGGCTTATTAGCTTCTAAAATATCCCATAGATTGATTTTTTGATTTCTAGTGCTTTAACGCCAATTTTAAGCACCGCTTTTGGGCTATTTCGTGGCGTCCAGTTTTTATTGGTGGAGGAAGCCGGAGTGCCCGGAGAAAACTACCGACCTTTGATAGGAAAACTGACAATCATGGTCAATTAAGATTGGAGTCGAGTACACCCGCACGAGCGGGGTTCGAACTCACAACCTCAGTGTTGACTCGCTAGTGATTACAGTAGAAACTACTTAGACCACTCGACCACCGAGGCCCCAATATATCCTAAAGAAAAAGACTTTTAAATTTCTTTTTGAGATGACTAGGTACAAGTTTGATTCTTGGAATTATTGACAAGAGAATATACTTAGTTTGTTTGCAGTAAACTGTGGATTCATTATTATTCGTGGGATACTAATTTTCATAGAATTAGTGGTCATAGGTGAACCACGAATTTTAATGTTCCAACAAAGTACAAATTTATTATAGGCTAAGCATGCAGATTTTGGCAAAACCATGAAATCAAAATTCAAATATACAAGAAAAAACAAATTTTCCTCAATCAACAAAAGTTGGTAATCATGACATAAAAGGCAGTGAATCTACAGTAAACTTTGTAACAGATAAAAACATGAGCCTTGACCAAATATTGATAGATGAATTTTGTCATTGTGGTCCCTTTTTGGATTATGTTATAAACACTGGACACTTTTAATTTGCAAAACACTCACTTGCAAATCCGCCGCCGCCTCTCCTTAGACCTACAGTGTTGTGTATATAACCAAAATGTGCGGAATTACATGGGATTCAATAATTTCATTGCTTTTCTGCTGTTATTATTATATATTTTTTGTAATGTGATCTAGAAAAAACATGGGATTTTCAATATCCCATGGGATAGGGCAAATCCCATGGGATTGACCATTATCCCATGGGATTTTGGTTAAATCCCATAGGATTTTTTTTTGGTCCCATGGGATAATTGTAGTCCCATGGAACAAAAAAAATCCCATGGGACTCAAATTATAAATATACAGTAATGTGTATGTTACAATGAATTCTGTTTGGTAGTAAAAAGTTTATAATATATATATGAGTCTATTTTGGTTTTTTACATTTTGCCACAAACATGTTTTTAATTTGTTTATATGACAATAAAGATTATTATCATTTTGGAAAGTATAATAATATTTAAAGTCAAAAAATAAAATCCTTTAACTGAAATAAAATGATGACATGTCTTAATAAAAGTAAAAAATATTGATTTGAAATCTTTGTCTTGTTTGTTTTATTATGAAAAATAGAACTGAAAAAAAATATTTCATATTCTGACTGAATAAATTGTCAAAGCACAGTTAATAGTTTACTCTTTTCATGAGGTAAAGTTTTCTTTGTTATAGTTCCATTGAAATACATGAATATGCAAACGATTTGAATCTTATACCTTTGTGGTGTTCATAATATTACGTTTATATTTGCAAATTTATAAAATAAACACTTTTCCTGTTAAGTTTTAGTTTTCTTGTACAACTATTCAGTCCACTATATAAGAGTGAAGTAAATAAATTATTTCATCCACTAGAATATTCCTACAATTCTTAGACAAAACATTTTTGCAATCTGTTCTTCAAAAATCTTCCTCCGTACATCTTTATTGGATGGAGCAATTTAAATGAGTGGACAAAACAAGTTCATTTGGACAACAAAATACTAATATATTTTTTCATTCCTCCCTTTTTTCAATTGATAATTACGTTATTGCATTTACATGATTAAGTTCTTGTGCATCTATGATCATGATGATATGACTCAATAAAAAAAGTCATACTATGTAGAAAAATATCAACTTTAAGTTTTCTGTTCAGTATTGACCTGTTGAATGATGATCATGAAAACCAAGATGTCTGACCTACAAATACACAAAACTCAAAAATTATTAATGAAGAGAAATACAGCAATACAATGGCTATTTTATTATGTTTATGTACATTTTGATAAAACTTTCATTTGAATATTTAAAATTGTAAGAACTCTTATTTCAGTGCTTTGTGTCAATGGTTTTCATATTAGTTGTTTTTTGTGCCTTGTTGCAGTCTTTTGAGTTAAACCAATTGCAACAAATGTTTACAGTTTGTTCAAATGTTGTGCTGTTATTAAAACCACTGTCCCAGGTTAGGGGTGGGTTGGGTGCTCACAAAATGTTTCCTTAATTATTAGTTGATATTTGCTTTGAATTAGCTGTCAGTAACTGTGAGTACTAATAGATCTGTATGTTGATTCTTTTTTGTTAAAGGGAAAGAATAAATTTCCAGCCACATCCGGTCTGTGTTTTTGGTAGCTGTTTTTCTGCTTTGTTGCATTCTAATGAGTTGATAAAATTGAGAATGAAAACGGGAATGTATCAAAATAACCTGACCCAAGAGCAGAAAAAAAGCCCTTTTCAACTGATTTTATAGTTTTTATATTGAACTGACACTTACACCACTGTCCTTAATTAGAGAAGGATTCGGCGCCAGCAAACATGTTAAACCATGCCACATTTTGTAAGTGACTGTCCCAAGTCAGGGGCCTGTTATTCAGTGGTTGTCAATTGTTGCTATATATCATTTTTGTTTTTTGTTTATTGTTTTGTGCAAAAATCAGACACTTAGCTTTCGCCTTTGTGGTGTTTCCCCCAAGCATGTTTAGCATGGATAGACACCATGCCCTTTTTAAATGACGCCATGCCCTTTTTGAATTGTTTACATTTGTTATTTCATGGCCTTTTATAGATTACTATGCAGTATAGGGTTTGCTCATTGTCGAAGGCTGTACAGTGAACTAATTTTGTTAAATTTAATGTCATTTGATCTCTATTGGAGAAAAGTCTCATTGGCAATCATACCGCTTCTTATTTTTATATCAACCCTGCCATATTTTGCCTGTCCAAAATCAGGAGCCTGTACATAGTTCAGTGGTTGCTGTTGGTTCACGTCCGTCATATTTGTTTTTTTCATAACTTGTTTTTTTTTATAAATTAGTCTGAAATATTTGAAGTTTGAATTGATGTTTTTTTCCAAATTTGTTTGTGGTGTCTTTTATAGATGACTATATCATGTATAGGGCATGGGTTTTCTCATTATTTACAGGTCATCATTGGCCTCTAATAAGTACTTGCATTGCTTACATCCACTTAATTGAACTCTGGTGGATAGTTTTCTCATTTATCATACCACATCTTATTTTCATAATAATCATTATTCAAGGGCAATACATGTTATAGAATTGGACTTACCATTCAGGCTTTGTTGACGTCTGTAAATCTATTTTTGTTGATAATTTCTTTTGTTTATAGTTTCCCTTTATCTTTAATGTTCTTGCCCTACACATAAAAGGATAAACATTATCATTTAATGACAAGAACTACTATTACATAATTAGTAGGCAACTGACAATTTTGGATCATTTGTATATCTTGTCTTGTTCATCATTTTTGCTGTTTAATATTATCAATATTCTATGAAAATGAGGTCACAGTAATATTAACCTTGGCAGACAGACATCTTCTTATTTTTATGCGACACCTTGCAGTTATTCCATACACCAACAAGTAGACATATGCTTATAATATCTGATAAAATGAAAAAACCAAGAAAACGCAGCATTGACCAAAGAACCATAAAATGTGGTCATGGATATATGAATCTGCCAGACAGACATGCACACCTTACAATCGTTACATCCGCCAAATATAATTTACCTGTTGCTTAAAGCATATGATAAACTGACAAAACAATGCAAACTTTTCATTGACCAATGAACCATAAAAATGGGGTCAAGGTCATATAAAACATGCGAGACAGACATGTGCATCTTACAATCATTCCATTCACCAAATATAGGGGCCTTATTGCTTACAGTATCCGAAAAATAGACCAAACCACAAAAACTAAACATTGTCCAATGTACTATGAAAATAAATTCAAGGTAAGATGCAACTTCTCAGTCGGACATATGCACCTTACAATCATTCCATACACCAAATATAGTTCACCTATTGCTAGTTTGAAAATAAGAAAAAAGAAAAACTGACCAAAAAACAAAAAAATAACATTGAGCAATGAACCATAAAAATGAGGTCAAGGTCGAAAAAAACATGCCAGACTAACATGTACATCCTTAAAATTTTCATACACCAATTATACTTGACATGTTGCATACAGTATTAGAAAAACTGGACATTTTTACCTAGCAATAGTGATGTCATGGCCTAGGAAAATTAGTCTGGGGACATAAATTACTGACATCGGATTAAATATACTAGTAAATTCTGTATCCTTGGACTTTTTATACTAGTTATATTTGTCTGACCAGACAATTTTTACCAGGACTAATTTATCTCTTACACTAGTTCTCAGAGAGACATGTCACCTTACCTTGACACATTATTCTGACTCTGAACAAACCAGTATTTGCTCTTACTCCTTAATAATACTGCGTGCTTAGGGGAGAAGCAGCAAATACCAACTTTAAAGTCTTTGGTTTTACCCGGTTGGGTTCAAAATAAACAACCTTCTGCACTTGAGGTGAACACGCTACCACGAGACCAGGCAGTATAATATAAGGAGTTTACCCAAGATTTAAAGTTTCCAAGTTTTTGCAAAAACTGGATCAAAATCATCATTTAAAAGCAATAACTTTTTAATAAGATTTAAGTTTCTCTTTAAATATTACAGTTTTTGAGATAAAAAGGCAAATTCAAGAAATATGAAGAAGGAAAAAAATCTGTATTTAAGGCAACAACTCCTATGAGTCAGCTGCCAGTTTTGATGCAAATGGACAGTAGATTTTTTTTTCAACATTCTGAACATTTCTACCCTTGTCAGATATTGTCTATCTATTTTGGTCTTTTGTAGCTTACTACACATGTTTGGCTTTTTAGCCCATTGTTGAAATCTGTACAGTGACCTATATAGTTGTTAACTTCTACGTCTTTAGTTTCTGTTGAAGAGCCGTCACATTGGCAATGATACCATATTTGTATATGTTTTTGTCATGTAGGTGTAAGGAGACAATCGTTTGATTTTCTGGTGGGATAAATAGGGGAGACAGATTTTTTATCACCTGGCCTGGTTAGTTTTTCAGGGTTCGTAAGGATAGAAAACCCGGCAAATTGTAAGAAACCCCTGTGGTACGACCATATTTGCCAAAAGATTAGTCCAAATAATTATGACGTCTTGCAAGGCTATTTTAACTTTTTTCTGGACACGTAATAGTCAAAGTTGTGACTGAGTGCGAAAATATGGAGATAGATAGATAGAAAAAAAAATTAAAATAGCCTTGCAAGACGTCATAATTATTTGGACTACCAAAAGATGTAACCTAATTCTTACTTGTTTGGGGAAGAGGGGATTAACCGAACCATTATTCAATCTAAATCTGTGAACTGAATTATTGTCTTTTGAAGTAGTCCGAGTCGACATCTGTAACTAATCATGCAAATTGATAGTCAACAGTATACCTTTTTCAGAATGTCAGCTTACAACAAAGAATCACTGGTGATAGGGGAGTGTAACCGATAAATTGATCCTGAATCAGATAAGATTTTCCCAGTAACAGAGAACCCCTTTCTTTGAGTGAATATAAATAGTGACGGGGGTCTCACAAATAAATATAAATCTGAATTACAGGAACATCGATTAGCAAAGTAAACTTACATATTAATCTCGAAGTTATTTACGGTAAAGACAGACTGTGCTCCTGAATTAAGGTATTATACATTTGTGTATTTTACTCGGGGGATGGGGGTGGGGGTGTGGGGGAGGGGTGGGTGGGGGGTGGGGTGTAGTGGGGGGCACTTCCTATATACAAGGTGATAGGACGTGCCGCTGGAATAGGTCACTTTTTCCAGCTTGAAAATATGGGAAAAGGTGGGGAAAACTATCAGAAATATATGATAAGGTCGATAAAGTTCATATTACTTGTATATGAAAAGCCCTGTCATTTTTTCACAGCCGAAAGTCTCGCCGTAAGTAAACATTACACACAGAATCTTAGCCTTAAATATTCCACTTTACCAACACACCCCACGAAACCCAACCAATATGGGAAAAGGTTACAATTTTACCCACGCAATATATGAAAAGGTAAACATTTTTAAGATCTAAATTATATGAAAAGGGTGGGGTAACAGAGCCCCAGCGACACCCTCTATCAATTAAGTATTTTATTGTTTTCCCAACAATGTTTAATAAAAGTTTAAAATGTTTGTTTCACTTCCCTCTGACTTCCCTCCTGATTTTTTTCTCTCAAGAAATTATAGAATCAGTAAATGGATATATATATATATATGTCTGTGGTCACCGTCATGCATTTAGATAAGAAATTGCAGCATGCATCATCAAATAATTCATGTGTATTTGTGACATCAACATAACTGAAACATTATATTATTTCCCAGTAATTATGTAAATCGTTTTGATTTACAATTATATATGTCTGGGACTTTTACATGTAAATATCTCACAGGCACTTGTCTCTGAAAAAATAATCCTATATACTTTAATAAAGGTATATATGAAAAAAAATTCTGAGACAAGTGCCTGTGATATATCTGTCAGTCCCAGAATACTAAATATAATTGTATCTTAATCTTTGGAAAAATCCAATTATTAAATTATTAAATTCTTTTACTTCATAATTATGTCAAAGTATACTTTTTAAAGTTTTAAATTTTAAAGTTAAAATGAATATTCCGTTTTGATCTGAGGAAAAGCTTTTTAAACTGTAATGACATGGTCAGTCAACTGATTTGTTGCATGATTACAGGTAATTAAAGCATGCAGTAATTTTCCATTACGACAGTGCGTGTACCCTGGGGTGTGTATAACGTATTAGAAATACCATAGTTTTCTAGAGAACATCCTGTCTATGTGTAATACAGATTGATGACATTACACAAAATTTCTTTCGTTAAATGTAGTTAAGTATCTGTGTCCATTCCCTATTGCAACACTACAAGTATTTCGAAGAAAAAAATGTTAAAACTAAAAAAAAAAAAATCATTTATATAAAATAAAGAAGAAAAAAAGTAGCAAATAAACTTATGTAACTACGCATTGAGTAAACATAACTTCACTTTACATGTACCAACCTTTGAGAAAACTGATATATAGATGTGTTTAAAAAGGCCAATTCCCAGTCGATTTATTTCACACTAGGACCACAGGTACTTGTTTCATAATTTTGTTTCCTATATACTTTAATATAACATTAAAAGTATATAGGAAATTTTTTTTCTGAGACAAGTGCCTGTGACTAGGACCTAAGATAACAAGAACTAAGTTCATTGGAAAGTCTTTTTGTCTGATACATGTATACCTATAGATTATGTACATAATTAAGAACAGCTTCAAATGTATGCCTATAAATTAACGGTACGTCTAAAAACCGCTCAGGACCTCCTGAGTGCAGACAGGACATAAAAAGTCACTCAGGACATGTATATATGTTTTAGTGAGGGTTGAGGGTATACATTAGATAGATAATTTAATTTTTGATCTTATAATTTTGGTTTTGATCAAATCAAACCAACATTAAAGAAGTTATTTGGGTTACGTCATGCATGACCGATGATCATTTTCAATACCAATTATCATTTTGATTAGGTCGTTTGATCTTTAATAATTAGGACTGATTGGTGATGGTTATAAACACATACAAGTAAACTTTGCAAAAAAAAACCAAAAAAAAAAACGTTTCCTTCGAAAAATTATAAAAATACATGAATATTGTTTTTACAAAAAAAAGTTAAATAAATTTTTCGTTTTGTATGTAATAATTGAAGCCATTTAGAAATATAAGAAATCTTCACATAGTCGGGAAATTTTCAATTCAAGTTATTTCATTTGAAAACGTTAAAAAATATAGATCTTATTCGATGTAAAATGTGGCGTCCCTGGAGATCAAAACCCGTTTAAATAGGGTTTGTCTACTTTCGTCTATTGCCGAAAATTCTATAATCAAGGATTTGTACAAATCCTTGCTATAATATAATGAATCGCGTCGCCAATATCACCACAATTACATATCTGTACTATTATTTGTCTGTTTGTCTTTTTATTTTTAGCCATGACGTTGTCAGTTTGTTTTCGATCTATGAGTTTGACTGTCCCTCTGGTATCTTTCGTCCCTCTTTTACATAAAGTACAAATACAATCTTCTCCTAAATATTTGGCATCTTACAATTTCAATAGGAAATTTTGAGTCGAAACTGAAGTACCAAATCTACAAAAAGATTCACTATTTTTTGTAGTAGTAGGCGTCGAAAACTAAACTGTTTATAATCTTTTTTTTTTCCTAAATTAATTGAAACTCCTGAAATAATTTAACATTATCTATAGACAGCTTACAAATGCAAATCTTTTTAGAAGTATGTGAGTGTATAGTAATAATTTGTTCATTAACCCCCTTTTTTCATTCTATAAAATTACATTGTAATTATAGATTATCGTTGAACACTTGACACTTTTAATTTGCAAAACACTCATTTGCAAATCCGCCGCCGCCTCTCCTTAGAGCTACAGTGTCGTGTATATAACCAAAATGTGCGGAATTACATGGGATTCAATAATTTCATTGCTTTTCTGCTGTTATTATTATATATATCTTGTAATTTGATTTAGAAATACATGGGATTTTAAATATCCCATGGGATTTACCATTATCCCATGGGATTTTGGTTAAATCCCATAGGATTTTTTTTGGTCCCATGGGATAATTGTAGTCCTAGGGGATATTTGTAGTCCCATTGGACAAAAAAAAAATCCCATGGGACTATAATTATCCCATGGGACAAAATAAAATCCTATGGGATTCAAATTATAAATATACAGTAATGTGTATGTTACAATGAATTCTGTTTGGTAGTAAATTGTTTGAAGATGAATCTTTTTAGTTGAATATATTTTTTTTCGTGGAAATGTTAATGCAATTATATTGTTCTATAACTGTTCAAAACTAAACTTTTAAACAACAAAGCAGATAATGTAAGTAATAATATATGTTTATTCATGAATTCTAGAATACTTTTTTGAAACACAATTATTTCCCATTTGAAATCAATGAAAACTCTATTATTAGGCTTAACATACTAATAGCTTTTTACATAAATCTATTTTTTTTTCAGGATATCCCTTCACCCAAAAAATTAATAGTTTCTTATCATCCAGCATTGTGTGATCGTAATGTATAGTCCACTTTTTGGCCATTCAACACAGAACATTGTCATTATTGTGGTTTTAATATCTTTAGGTATTTAATAGAACTTCAATTCAATGAATGAGTGATGAAAATAATAACTGATCTGACTTTTGTCTTTGAATTTATTCTGGTCTTGTTTCTGTGTTTTCTCCTTTTATTCTAAGTAATGAATTTCAATCCTTCTGAAAAAGAACCAATAAAATTCGAAGTTATGGATAATAAAAAATTGTTTGCATACACTGTAGCAATAACATATGATTTTCAATAAAAATAGCTATGCGGTATGGATTTTACTGATTGTTGAAGGTTGTCCAGTGTCATCAGTTGCTAACCTCCTACATCCTTTCGTCTCTGATGGAGAGTTGTCAAATTAGCAATATACCACATCTTCCTATTCTTATATTATATAACAATCAATTTATGTATTCTTCTTTATAATATTTGGGTATTTTCCCCAGTTATATATATATAGATCAATGCTAAAACTTTAGGCAATTACAATAACATTCCATTTTTCACAAGAATTTGCAATATATTATACAAAACGCCAACAATAGAAACAGAGCTTCTTTAAGCTTCTGAAGTTCTGAAAGAGTTCAAATTGTGTTTTATTTCAATGAGAAAATACCTTGAACTCTTTGGACATGTTGGAAACTATAACATTGATACAAACAAATATATTGGTTTTGTTTTCTTATTTTTGTGTTGTTCGGTTGCTGTCTCATTTTTATATATGGTTATACATATATCCTAAATCTTCTTTTTTTTAATACTCAATTATTAATTAATAGTAAAAATTGGATATTTTTTATTTTGATAATCTCAAAACATTATTATTCTATCAAATAACTTATTTCCAAGTTCACAAAACACCAATGTGTAAGATATTAATTTTAAGACATGTATAAACGTGATCAAAAAGCAGTTGACAGGATGTCATGTAAAAATCCCACTAATATTAAACTTTCACAAAAACTCCATACTCAGTGAGTACTATTAAAGGTCTTAGTACATGTAGTACAGGACAAATTCCTAGTACAGGACACCATGCCTGGCAAACACTATCATGTGTCAATGTCTAGTCAATCATGTAATCAGGCTCAAAATCTTAGTTTGGCACTGAATTTAAAAGTTCACCACATAATGAACATGTGTATGAAATTCAACTTCATGGTAAGCTATGTACTTTAACCTAAAACTTTAACCTAAGAATGTACTATAATTACACATTATGACATTTCTATGTTCAGTGATCCATAAAATCAGGGTAAAAACAGTAAATGTGGTGTATAATGTATAAACAAGAGTGCACAAGCTGAAATGTCGCGCCTTCTTTACTAATCATTGATATTATGTTGATAGTCCTAAATATAAAGCTTTACTACAATTATCACATAAAATCAACATGATCCAAGAAAATGAATTCAAGGTCATATAAACCCGACAAGAAATACATGTACACCTTACAATCATTCAATATACTAAATACAGTTGACCTATTGCTTATAGTTTAAGAAGCAGACTTAACCAAG